ATCATGAAATTGGTGATGGAGGATGGTTGATGATGACGACGGCGACGGATTCCCCTCTCCGGAGCCCCGACCGGACTCCAGATCAGCCCTCCCGAGAGAGATTAGGGCTTGGCGGCGGCTCCGTGTCGTAAAACGCGATGAAACTTTCTCTTTGGGTTTTTTCTCCCCGAACGTGAATATATGGAGTTGGAGTTGAGGTCGGTGGAGGTCCAGGGGGGCCCACGAGATAGGGGGGCGCGCCCAGGAGGAGGGGGCGCGCCCCCTGTCTCGTGGACAGGGTGTGGGCCCCCTGGTGTATTTCTTTTGCCCAATAATTCTTATTAATTCCAAAAAGTTCCTCCGTGGATTTTCAGGACATTCCGAGAACTTTTCTTTTCTACACATAAAACAACATCATGGCAGTTCTGCTAAAAACAGCGTCAGTCCGGGTTAGTTTCATTCAAATCATGCAAGTTAGAGTCCAAAACAAGGGCAAAAGTGTTTGGAAAAGTAGATACGTTGGAGACGTATCAACGTCCAATGGCTGCCATGGGATGCCCAACCTGGTTCTTTGTTCTCTTGATTTTCCTGATTTCAGCTTGCCTCTTCTTCAACGGTTCTGCTATTACAGCCACCTCGTACATGTTCCTGGAACGATCAAGTGACCTTGCATTCACTAAGGATAGGATTTCAGTGCAGTCTATCTCCACCAGTATTGGTTTTTGTGACCAACTTAACAAAAATATACACACCTTGATTTGTTGTTTTTTTCACACGGAAATCAAGTTAATTGCAAGATAGGACCATAATTGGGGCTAGGTCACAAACTGTACTATCTTTCGTTTCTTTACTGATCAGTGCCTGTTTTGGGTCGAGTCGCAACAACTCACACTAATTCTATTTTGAACTTTTTTTACAGCCAAACTGACGGTGGAACCCACTCACAGGGATGAAGTGGCAAAAAATAATCATGTTGACTCTTTCTCTTCCACCACACCTTCAATCTTCTTCACCCTTCTCGGATTCGAAGGCAACTCAGCAGGGGCACACCACCACCACTAGGGCACGCCACCGCCCTCCTCATCGGCCTCTCACTAGCGCCGCTGCATGCCACCGCATCCAACCTCCACTGCACCATCTCCCCCTCCCTTTTGCACCCCCCTTCTTCCCTCAATCTGGATCAATCCTCCATCGTCGGCGGCTGCGATAGTACTGCTCCCATCTCAGGTCAGCCCCCTATACACCGTCGCTCGAGCAACATCCCCTATTTAGCATTCTCACATGTGTATCCCTCTCTGGGACGGCACCCCTCCCACACTATGAGTTGAAGTGGTTGACCTCGAGGCTTGAGCACTTCCCGCCAGCTCAAGAGTGCGCCTGTCTCTAGCCTTTCTCTAGAAGGCCGTCGTCGGCTGCTCCTCCCGAGCTACCGTCGAGAATGGCCCAACCCTTCCACCATCATCATCAACAGCCACCAGTAGGAGCCTCGAGCCATGGACGCTCTCCTCCACCACCTACTCCGAGCAACCCAACAAGGATCCACAGAGGATAATGGAGATCCACCGCCCCTCCCTATTGGGGAATGTAGTAAATTAAAAAAAATTCCTACGCACACGCAAGATCATGGTGATGTATAGCAACGAGAGGGGAGAGTGTTGTCCATGTACCCTCATAGACCGAAAGCGGAAGCGTTAGCACAACGCGGTTGATGTAGTCGTACGTCTTCACGGCCCGACCGATCAAGCACCGAAACTACGGCACCTCCGAGTTCTTGAACACGTTCAGCTCGATGACGTCCCCCGTACTCCGATCCAGCAGAGTGTCGAGGGAGTGTTCCGTCAGCACGACGGCGTGGTGACGATCTTGATGTTCTACCGTCGCAGGGCTTCGCCTAAGCACCGCTACAATATTATCGAGGAGAACTATGGTGGAGGGGGGTACCGCACACGGCTAAGAGATCAATTGTTGTATATGAGGTGCCCCCCTCTCTCGTATATAAAGGAGTGGAGGAGGGGGAGGGCCGGCCCTCTCTATGGCGCACCCTAGGGGAGTCCTACTCCCACCGGGAGTAGGATTCCCCCTTTCCTAGTAGAACTAGGAGCCCTTCCAAGTAGTAGGAGTAGGAGAGAAGGAAAGGGAAGGGAGAAGGAGAAGGAAGGAAGGGGGCGCCCCCCTCCCTAGTCCAATTCGGACTAGTCCATGGGGAGGGGTGTGGCCACCCTTTGGGGCCTTTCTCTCCTTTCCCGTATGGCCCATTAAGGCCCAATACGAATTCCCGTAACTCTCCGGTACTCCGAAAAATATCCGAATCACTCGGAACCTTTCCGATGTCCGAATATAGTCATCCAATATATCGATATTTATGTCTTGACCATTTCGAGACTCCTCGTCATGTCCCCGATCTCATTCGGGACTCCGAACTCCTTCGGTACACCAAAACACATAAACTCATAATATAACTGTCATCGAAACCTTAAGCGTGCGGACCCTACGGGTTCGAGAACTATGTAGACATGACCGAGACACGTTTCCGGTCAATAACCAATAGCGGAACCTGGATGCTCATATTGGCTCCTACATATTCTACGAAGATCTTTATCGGTCAAACCGCATAATAACATACGTTGTTCCCTTTGTCATCGGTATGTTACTTGCCCGAGATTCGATCATCAGTATCCCAATACCTAGTTCAATATCGTTACCGGCAAGTCTCTTTCCTCGTTACATAAGGTATCATTCCGTAACTAACTCATTAGCTACATTGCTTGCAAGGCTTATAGTGATGTGCATTACCGAGAGGGCCTAGAGATACCTCTCCGACAATCGGAGTGACAAATCCTAATCTCGAAATACGCCAACTCAACATGTACCTTCGGAGACACCTGTAGAGCTCCTTTATAATCACCCAGTTACGTTGTGATGTTTGGTAGCACACAAAGTGTTCCTCCGGTAAACGGGAGTTGCATAATCTCATAGTCATAGGAACATGTATAAGTCATGAAGAAAGCAATAGCAACATACTAAACGATCAAGTGCTAAGCTAATGGAATGGGTCAAGTCAATCGCATCATTCTCCTAATGATGTGATCCCGTTAATCAAATGACAACTCATGTCTATGGCTAGGAAACTTAACCATCTTTGATTCAACGAGCTAGTCAAGTAGAGGCATACTAGTGACACTTTGTTTGTCTATGTATTCACACATGTATCAAGTTTCCGGTTAATACAATTCTAGCATGAATAATAAACATTTATCATGAAATAAGGAAATAAATAATAACTTTATTATTTCCTCTAGAGCATATTTCCTTCACTCCCCCCATCAACCATCACCACGTTGGCCATCCCCAACATCCTGCCTCGATTCGGCCCCTTGGTCTCCCGTCATGGAGTAGTTGGCACTTGGTAGAGACCCATGGGAGTCAGTATGGTTTTTTTGTCACGTCATCCCTTCGAGCGGGCCCCACCATCAGTTCGGTGGTTAAAAATTAGTGCGATTTGTTATAACTCAACCCAAAACCAATACTGATGTGCAAAAAAACAAAAGTTTTTTCTGAATACAGTACAAACGCAACCGCTCATATATATGCATATACACTCACCCCTATGAACGCATACACGCACACCCACTACCTCTATAGACTGAGCCGACGTATCATCTTGAGATTGACGAAGTCATCATAGACGCCTCGTAGTCGACGTAAACGTATCCTCACATTTGAACGCGCATCACCAGAAATTCCTGAAATACATCCAAAAAAAATGCTAGCACTAGGACTTGAACCGTGATGGATTAAGAATAATGAAAGTTGGTACCAATAAGTTGACATGGTACTAGTATCTTGCAATTAACTCATGGAAATCACGTATGCCCGATTATATACAGCTGTAAAATAAATCGAAAAAACTAACGCCCATATGTGTGGCATCTTGCACATCGCCCATACGCCTCCATCACCACTCATTTTGTCACATATGAAGATGGCATTAGCAAGAATCTTTTTGGTTTTCGGCTTAAAAATATTTTATCTCCTAATTAAAAATCAAATAAAAAAACCATTTTCACCATTAAATCCGTCTCGATGAGATCTTCAAAACTAGACCCCATGTTGATATGTTTTGACGAAATATTTTTTTGCCCAAAAGTTATCATGATGTTTACACGTAGTTGCAATACTGCTTAAACTAAAGTTGTCATGTGCCAATTTTAGTTTGTAGAGCATGGCAATTCTAGTACATTGATCATGAAAATTATTTTTTGTATGAACCATAGCAATTTTAAGTGCATGTATCATGGCAATTTCAGTTTATGGTTCATGGCAAGTCTAGTTTCTTAATTTCTCGTTTTATAATATGTCAAAATTACTTTTAAATATGAAAAAATAGCTGAAACATATCATGACAACTTCTGTGTAAACATCATGGCAATTCATATGCAATAGACATGTCAACTTTTAACCCCAAAAAACCATCGAAATATATTGATATGAGATCGAGTTTCGAAGATCTTGTCACGAGAGATTTAATGGTGAAAACGGATCTTCAATCGGATTTTTCATTTAAGAGATAAAACATTTTAAAATCTGAAAATCCAAAAAAAATTCTCACACGCATGGATGCGATAACGTGGAACTTGTCCAAATAAATACACAGCTGTAAAATAAATTACACCGATTCGATTCCAAGGCCTTTTGTCGTCACTCTCTCGGGGACGCTGCTGGCCTTGTCTTCTTCTTTTCCGGTGGCAGCCGGGGCAGTGAAGGAGGGGTAGCTCTTGGTTCCTATTTGAGGCGGCTTCGCTCGGTTCTGATCTACCGCACCACACCACCACACCACACCAGGGGGCTGCCGCTTCTTGGGCTTCTCCATCTCCTCTCCTTGGTTGGTTCTCTACTAGAGAGGTAGGCGAGATTTTTCATCTAAATAATCCCAGCTTGTGGTGGCTGGTTCGTTTATCTTGGGCTGGGTTTCTGCGCGCCGGCGCAGCTGCAGGGATCCTTGGTGGAGAGGAGGGAAGAAGATGTCGGGTGCTGCACTGGTCGCGATTGCGGCTTCCATCGGCAATCTGCTGCAGGGGTGGGACAATGCCACCATTGCTGGTAAGTAGACCAGATTTGTTTTACTACCTTGTTAGATCACTCCGGTGAATTCGGGGTTCTTGTTTTGGGAGCTTCCTTTATAAGTAGTTTAGACCAGATGCTGTTCAGTACTACTACTAGTCTTTTTTGTTGGAACAAAAGACGGGTGATTTATTTCCCTTGAGCAAACTGATGACTTGTTTTTCGACCCTAAAAGCAACACCGTACCAACCAAGATAATACTCTTGTCAAGACAAGTTTCGATTGTGAACATTTCCTTGATTATATCTCATCTGTAAACTTGCTATCCTTTACTTTTAGGCACAGATTAACAGAGCACGCTTTTCGTCTTCAGGTGCTGTCCTGTACATCAAGAAGGAATTCCAGCTCGAAAATAATCCGACTGTAGAGGGGCTCATCGTGGCCATGTCGCTCATCGGTGCAACCATCATCACCACATTCTCCGGGCCAGTATCAGACTGGGTTGGCCGGCGCCCTATGCTCATTCTCTCTTCACTTCTCTACTTCCTCAGCGGCCTAATCATGCTATGGTCACCCAATGTCTATGTGCTGCTCCTGGCACGCCTTGTCGATGGCTTTGGTATCGGCTTGGCTGTCACGCTGGTGCCTTTGTACATCTCAGAGACGGCTCCTTCGGAGATCAGGGGACGGCTCAACACGCTTCCACAGTTCAGTGGGTCAGGAGGGATGTTCTTGTCATACTGCATGGTGTTCGGGATGTCACTCTTGCCATCACCTGATTGGAGAATTATGCTCGGGGTTCTCTCAGTTCCGTCGTTGTTTTTCTTCGTCTTGACGGTATTTTACCTGCCAGAATCTCCGAGATGGCTTGTCAGCAAGGGCCGAATGGCAGAGGCAAAGAAGGTGCTGCAAAGATTACGGGGAAGGGAGGATGTCTCAGGTCTGTTTTTTTCACTCAAAACTCCATATTCATTTCACCTGGATTGCGACAGAACCCTTCTTTAAATTCATCCCTGATAGTGGATTGCAATTAGTTACCTAAGTGATATGCACTAGTGTTAACTGTTATATATGAGTTGCACAATTTTTTTAACAAAAAATCATTATTTAATTTGTACAGACTGTATAACAGATCATAAATGACCAAAGAGTAAGAAATTATGTTTGAGTCTTGTTAACATTAAATTCATGTTGGTACTTTGCACATCACAGAATGTCGAAGTAGTAGTAGTAGCCTCAGTGGAGGCTTCTTTGCTCTTTAATAAATGACCTTGTTGACAAAGCTCAGATGAACTGTGGCTATATTGGTTGGTAAATGGACACAAGTATGCAACTTACACTAAGAACTTGCATAAGCTGCTCCTTTCAGTAAGGTATTCAAGTCAATTATGATATGTTTCTAAAGATGTAATGTTTGGGTATCCCTCAAAAATGATTTCACAATTCAGGTTTCAACATAGTATGTTGGAATCTAAGTGTTGGTAAATTTCAGTTGGTGGTTTACGAATAACTATGAGTAAAGTTACAGTTATCATTCCAAATCAAATTTGTGCAGGAGAAATGGCCCTTCTTGTTGAAGGTTTGGAGGTTGGAGGAGACACCTCCATTGAGGAGTACATAATAGGACCAGCTAATGACCCAGCTGATGATCATGTTGTTGATGGCGATAATGACCAAATAACACTATATGGGCCTGAAGAGGGCCAATCATGGATTGCTCGACCTTCCAAGGGACCCAGCATGCTTGGAAGTGTGCTTTCTCTTGCATCTCGTCATGGCAGCATGGTAAACCAGAGTGTGCCCCTTATGGATCCTCTAGTCACGCTTTTCGGAAGTGTTCATGAGAACATGCCTCAAGCTGGAGGAAGCATGCGGAGCACATTGTTTCCTAACTTTGGCAGCATGCTCAGTGTGGCCGATCAGCACCCAAAAACTGAGCACTGGGATGAGGAGAACGTTCATAGGGACGATGAAGAATATGCATCTGATGCTGGAGGCGACTACGAAGATAATGTCCACAGCCCACTGCTGTCGCGACAGACCACAAACACGGATGGGAAGGACCATGGTCACCATGGAAGCACTTTGGGCATGAGAAGGAGAAGTCTCTTGGAAGAGGGTGGGGAGGCAGTCAGCAGCACTGGTATTGGTGGGGGGTGGCAACTCGCATGGAAATGGTCGGAGCGACAAGGCGAGGATGGCAAGAAGGAAGGAGGCTTCAAAAGAATCTACTTGCACCAAGAGGGGGTGGCCGACTCAAGAAGGGGCTCTGTTGTTTCACTTCCTGGTGGGGGTGATGCCACCCAAGGGGGCAGTGGGTTTATACACGCTGCTGCTTTGGTAAGCCACTCGGCTCTTTACTCCAAGGATCTTATGGAAGAGCGTATGGCGGCCGGTCCAGCCATGATCCATCCATTGGAGGCAGCTCCCAAAGGTTCAATCTGGAAAGATCTGTTTGAACCTGGTGTGAGGCGTGCATTGTTCGTCGGCGTTGGAATTCAGATGCTTCAGCAGGTAGAGATTATGCTGCTGATTTCTTTAATTACTGTATGTATGCCAGATATGAACAAACATATAGTCTGAAACTGGCCAACAAGTACTGAGTCGATTTTCCTTGTGCAGTTTGCTGGAATAAATGGAGTTCTCTACTATACTCCTCAAATTCTGGAGCAAGCTGGTGTGGCGGTTCTTCTTTCCAATCTTGGCCTCAGTTCAGCATCAGCGTCCATCTTGATCAGCTCTCTCACCACCTTACTCATGCTCCCAAGCATTGGTGTAGCCATGAGACTTATGGATATATCTGGAAGAAGGTACTAACTGGTTTGCTTTGGAATCTCAAGTCTCAGTATTATCACTTTTTCCGATCAAACAAGGTCTTATTATTTTTTTCCTTTTCTGCAGGTTTCTTCTACTGGGCACAATTCCCATCTTGATAGCATCCCTAATTGTTTTGGTTGTGTCCAATGTTATCAACTTGAGTACGGTGCCCCACGCTGTGCTCTCCACAGTTAGCGTCATTGTCTACTTCTGCTGCTTTGTCATGGGCTTTGGCCCAATCCCCAACATTCTATGTGCAGAGATTTTCCCCACCAGAGTCCGTGGTGTCTGCATCGCTATTTGCGCCCTCACATTCTGGATATGTGACATTATTGTTACCTACAGCCTGCCTGTGATGCTGAATGCTATTGGTCTAGCAGGTGTCTTTGGTATATATGCAGTCGTTTGCTGCATCGCCTTTGTGTTCGTCTACCTAAAGGTCCCAGAGACAAAGGGCATGCCCCTCGAGGTCATCACCGAGTTCTTTGCGGTTGGTGCGAAGCAAGCGCAGGCCACCATTGCCTGATTCATCATGGAGCTTTGTTTTCAGTTTGCACACTGCACTGAAAATTGCAAATTGGACGGGTCCTCATGAGGAACGGAAAACCTTTTGAGTTGTAAATGAGATAGCTACCCAAAGAGTTCATCACGAGGAACGGGAAGCTGTAAAAGTAGGAGGATTTCATGCCCCCATTTCATCGTCTATTCTTGCTTATTAGTACTGTACTGTAATCGTCATTAGTTGTTGTGGGGAAGTTCAACTTGCTAATCTGATTCTGAACTACTATGCTGATGTCTGAAATAAAGAAAAAGCATTTTTTTGTGTCAACTTGCAAACTTTCTTTTAAACATTGTGCAATGTATTGTAAATTTCTTTATCAACTTCCCTCGATTCAGAGAGAAGCACTTGTTGTTTGTCATATGAAAGATTTTTCTCGACACATTTGCTGCATGGAGCTTAGTGGTAGAAAAATTAAATATAATACTCCCTCCATTTCTAAATATAAGTCTTTTTAGAGATTTCAATGCGAACTACTCTTTCCGTTCGAAATTACTTGTCTCGGAAATGGATATATCTAGAATTAAAATACGTCTAGAGACAAGTAATTTCGAACGGAGGGAGTAGATACAGATGCATATATACGGATTCTAGAGCGAGATTCATCCATTTTACTCCGTATGTAGTCCATATTAAACTCTAAAATGACTTATATTTAGGAACAGAATACTGAAGTTGCAAATAATTTCTCTGGTATAAAACTGACGCTTCTAATTTAGAGAATTACATGATATCTTATTATATTGGCGATTTCGTGACACTCAAAACAACATTTGCAATAAGGAAGCGCTAGGCATCAGACCACTGATCTCTTCTCATCAGACTAGTGCTAGACCATTCGATCGAATTTACCCCCAACGTCCGATCTGTTAGGAAACCCCGCCGCATGATTTGCTGGATTGAAGCCTTAATTGGCTGCTTCGTCATAACTGCTAGTGTGCATGGTACGGTGGTAGTTCCTTCTTTTACGGGATGGGCCAGTGGCAGTTCGTTTCCATATATTGCTTCCTAATTAAGCTCCCCATAATTATTTTGCTTACAAGATTGATGCATCATTTTGTCCACATGATTTATTTCTCTGTTTCACATATTCTATTTTGAGCCAATGCATATTTGCTTCCATCTACTCAATAATATGCTTCAAGTGCGTACAACCAAATTTGTGTCGATCTGATGAAAATGTGTGAATATAAATGTTTATTTTGCTTTCAATCAAGCAACAATTTATTTCCATCGACTCATATATTTGTTACCACTGCAACTTAGTTTTGCTTATATCAGAAAAATATATATATTTGCTTCCACTCAAAAAATAAATTGGTTTCCATTATAGCTATACATTGTTTCCACAAGAAACGGAATTTTGCTTCCAAAGAATAGAGAGTCTGCTTCCATGAAACCAAAATATAATACAACACATATTAATTACATGACAGCAAAATATAATACAAAATTCAGGCCTAATATATCTGGGAAGCGTGGGTATTGTCTTGGGCTGCAACGTCGCGATAAGGACCGAGATCTCAGTGACCTTTGTTGCTTCCACCACCTCTGTTGCCTTCACCACCTCCACCACCACCTCTGTTGCCTTCATATCGGCAGTGTCGACGTCATGGGGAGAGGGCACTACAAGGCGATTGAAAAGTCAATGATGCATGATCGGAATTGTGTGGCACAAACATTTGTATAACAGAAACACATGAGAAAATACGACAAATTTTGACATATCACTACATAGATGCTAGGCAGTGGAGGAGTAAAATATTGAGATAAAGAAAAAAGAGGCATTACTATAAAACATAAAAGTAGGATGCATAGCTTACAAGAAGGAATAGCTTGATCTATCACAACACACATGATAGGTAGTGGAAGCATAGAGAATTGATACGGAGAAAACCAATCATTGCTATAGAGGCATATGCAAAATATAAAGGTAGAAATCATGGCTTATATGAAGCAATGATTTGATCTATCAAAACATTCATGATACACAGTGAAAGCATGAATGTAGCACAAGGGCAATGTTTACATACATGTGCTCAAATGTGAATAATTTAAAAAAAATGACAAGCTGGAACTATGTGAACAAACTACCTGGAATGAAGACACATGTGATAACGAGGATATACCACAAAAGTTATAAAATAAGAAGCTTGAAATACAAAAGCAATCTGCATAAACCGAAGAAGCACTTGAAGTATGATTTGGAAGCTCACAGGAAGCATGAAAATATGCTATATAAATATGATTTTTCTTAATTGGAAATATAGAACATTGAAAATGAAAATAAACAAAGATTTGGCAAACATTGGGATGCATGTTTGGTCTCAACAACATACAAATTTCATTGAATTTTGTTTACCTATGGAAGCAAACTCTGACCCCAAGAAGCATGTGTGTTACAATTTAAAATTTCCATGAGTAAGAAGTATGGAAAGAGCGTGTTGCAAGATGCTTGCCAATAAGTAGAGCCGCTATATACAAGAGCTTAGATGGAAATACATTAACGAACATTGAAGCAGACTAATACTTTTGGTAACAAGGAGATGGATGTTTTGTATCACCAACATACAAATGCTTAGATTGATTTTACAACCTATGGAAGCAGATTGTATAGTTGAAGCACGGGCATAGGCTTATTGTCTATAATATATGTGAAATTAGGAAGGAAGAATTGGTTATTGATTAAGTAAAAACAAGATGACTGCATACACGTAGGAAGCATGGAGACGAGGCAAAGCTTGACACGGTAAAAAAAACAATCTATGCGGACTGAAAATGCAAAAGCACAACACATATGTAGCATGTCGGTTGGACCAGCGATGCATTGTCGTTTTGTCGTTATGAAGAATGGATGCCCAGGCAGACACCGGCAACATCTGACCTCCTCTGTAGCGTTGTGAGGCTCCTGGACACCTTGGTGCACCGTTATTGAAGGCCTACACAGATGCCTAGGTTAGCATAGCCGCTGCAGCGAGATAGGGGCAGAGGAGCGAAATCATGACCAGATCGAAGAGGTGCTCACCGTTAGGGCCACCATGGTCGCCTTTAGGAGAGGACGTCGACGTTGTGCTCCAGGCTCCAGCACGATGGGCTGCGCTGCAGCGGCAGGAGGGATCGCTGAGCAAGGCGAAAACAACAGTGGAGCGACCAAGCGATTAATTATGATTCCATTTTGATTTCCCTAATCATGGGTGCATGATTAACGGGTTGGTGGGCAGCGTTGTCCTAGATTAATGGGTGCATGGCTTGGAGAGAGGGAGGTTCTTGGAAAATAATTCTATGAGACCAGGTCTCACGGGTTAGCAGGTGAGACCCATCCTGATGAATGACACGTGGCATTCATAAATCACAAAGCATTTATCCCACCCACCCACCTGAAATCAGGGAGGAGAGATTAGATGCTTTGTGATTTGTGAATGCCACGTGTCATCCATCAGAGCGGGTCTCACCTGCTTTATATGAGACCATGTCTCATATAATTTTTTTTCCGAGGTTCTTGACCATACGATGGAAAGGAATCAATGATATAAGATTGGTCTGACGAAGGAAATAAATCAGACCTCTGATGAAAAGTGTTTCCCTTTGCAATATGACGATTGAGTTGCATGCATTTTTACTCTATCGTAACTGAGGACTGAATAGTTCACTACCATGGAAATACCTCTTCATGTAAGTTTATTTGTTACTCCCTCCGTCCCATAATATAAGAACGTTTTTGACACTAGAGTGTAGTGTCAAAAACGTTTTTATACTATCGGACGGAGGGAGTAGTACTGTACATAGTTCATTGCGTCAGTGGAATCAAGTCAACACAGTTTCCTACCATATGGTAAACTATTTTGTATTAAAGATGAAAAAAAGAGGCTTCCTACCATATGGTAAACTACTGAGAACTACGGTCATGTTCTTCACAGTGCAACGTTGCAGCAACTAAATTAAGTGCATCAAGTCAGTCAATATCATTGGATCCTTCGAAAGAGAAAGGAAGGCGACATCTTGAAAAACAACAAAGAATGAGAAAAGGTTTCTGGTCTTCCTACTATACTGAACCCCAAATCCTTGTAGTTGATGAAATTATGCACAAATCTAAGAGCACAACTGAAACATAAGAGAGCGCCAGATCATAGGAAAACATCACCGGCTGATTTCAGACCCTATGAGAAAAATACACCTATGCTATACCTAATTTAGGCAATAACTGATTAGAAGCCTTCACTGAATTGCACCTAGGCTACATATTCATGTGCTTTAACAACTTCTTGGAAGTTGTTTAGAGCGTACTGAAATAGTAAAAAGGATAAGTGAATCAAGCACAAGAGAGATTCACAACACCTAAATTGTCCCCCTGCCTAATTTCCAACTCAATGGGCATAATTACAACAAGCTAGACTTTACACTCTAGAGCTTCCAATAGATATTTAAGGCAAGTGGAAAATGGTTTAGCCAAAATGGTACAGTAAGAAACTTGATCTATGGTCCTCGTTTTGCACTACTAGTAGCTCTTGCTGGTGGAATTCCTTGGGTGCTTGTATTTCTTCGTGCCCCTGTTGGCACTGCAACAAGAACAAGAAAAAATATGCAGAAATGTTGAGAGTGGATATAATCCAGGTATTTGAATGTTAATAATCAATACTCTAGTAACTATATTCCTTGTGAGATTTCTACAAGAGTCACTTTTTTGTTAGATACAGTATCAGGAGTTACACTGAGTTTGTATTAGATTAGATTTGTTATCTGTTCGTCAATGCAAATATCCTTTTACTCTGGACCGTAGTCAAAACATCGATTCCATGCCAATGCATACCCAGCTAAATCCCGTTGTAATTACATGTTCAAGACATACTGTACATGTATGTTACCGAGATTAGGAGTGAACTATATGAACTAACTGTATGGATAAAACTGTCAAACTCAGTTATGTTTCTCCCAAGCATTATTTTGTCAACCTTGGCATATTCAGAAAATTTCGAAAATCCAAGTGCAAAATAAAGAGGCATCTTACCTGAGGGTTTAGGAATAGCAGGATCCCTTGGTTTAGGCCGCAAGCCTGATGCTTTTCGGACTGTCAACTTCTGAACTCGAGATACCGTCTTTGTCCTACATGAAGGGAAAAAGGTGCAAGTCACAGACAACAGCCACAACCATGACAAAAGTTCCACTTAATGGAAATTCTGTATAAATTGAATTGTCAAATAAATGAAACTATT